AGATCGACCGGGAAAAACACGTAACCGGGGTCAATCGGGCGTCCAACTAGTGATGGTATGTTGGGTAGAGGGGGATCGCATCGGTGCTGTGATTATAGGGGAAATTGAAAATGCCTGCTGCTTCCCATACGTCAACCTACAAAAACTTATTAGCCTATTTCACAGATTGAAGGGAATCGCACCACCTGGGAGCCCTCTCGCGCAACGACCTGGCATATTTGGCGTTGCAAAGTATTGCATGCCCAACACTTCTCCCCAGCAAGCCGCTTGAACTAGGAGCAGGTACCGTATTGCCAAATCATACTGTAGTGGAGGGAACCCGTTCTCAACAACGGTCAGGTGATACAAGTCTTAGATTTTAGGTACCGCTGTTTTGTAGTTAACTAGTTAGTTATGTAACATTCAGGATAGCACTGATAACCTAGAATCTAGTTATACACTCCTCTCATCTCACGAATTCGTATATTACGTTCGCCCCTTTGACCATTGCATGTGTTGTTTCAATCCGCATACACCATATACATTGCGAGCAAAAGCGGCGGAGGTGAGCACTAGAACGGAAGGGGAGTGCTAAGCATTGCCAGATGTTTGCCGCGTTTGCAGCTTGTAATGTACCCGGAAAAACTTCGGCCCTTCGCAAAACAGCTATTCCTCCCCATCTGCGCTTCCCCAGCATATCGACCAACCATCGACAAAATGCCACGAAAGCTAAGGGCGGCTGCCCAGGCGGCTGCACAGTCGATAAGTGAGTTGATCTGAATCTCACGTTGGCCCACACCTGCCACAAACATCCGTCCCTTCGACTATGCTTTGAATTTCATCCTCTCCTTAGACGCGTTTGCGACTAACCACATTCAGAAAATGTACCTTCAATTCCAGATGGGTCCGATGAGGAGATGGCCGACGCGATTTCCTCTCAGCCCTCCTCGCCCGTAGTCGAACCAGAAGACTCCCCCGAAGATCCCGATGTCGAACCCGAGGCTGAACCAGAACCTAAACGTGAACCAGAACCTGAACCTGAAGCCGAAAGCGCAGAGGTTCAGGCTTCCGAAACTCCTGCCACACCCAAGCCTGCCACACCCAAGCCAGAGGAAGAACTGAGTGCTGCGACTCCCGCAGAAGACTCACTTCTTGCCGACACTGACAACACACCTTCCTACGGACCTGGCCGCCCATCACTTCCGCCTCGCGGCAAGCGTCGCATTGGTCGCCCACCCAAGAACCCTCGGCCTGAATGGGATCCGGCTAACGGAGATCCACCATTGCGAGTTACTACTCCAGTCAAGAGACGCCGTGGTCGGCCTGCTGCTAGCGGGGGACGCTGGGCACGCAACCGCGGCCCCTCTCACCTCACCCAGGTGCCTGTCGACAAGGAAGGAAACATGATGGACGTAATCAACGACGAAGTATCGATTCCACCTGACCCAATTGGCGCTACTAAAGTCGATGAGAATGGCCACCTACAAGGCGGACGCGAGTATCGAGTCCGTACCTTTAAGATCCTTGGCCGCGGAGACCGACTCTACATGTTGTCGACTGAACCGGCCCGCTGCATTGGCTTCCGTGACTCGTACTTGTTCTTCCAGAAGCACAAAATGCTGTACAAGATTATTATTGATGATGACGCCAAACGTGATTTGATTGAACGCGATCTCATCCCTCACTCTTACAAGGGACGAGCCATTGGTGTTGTCACCGCGCGCTCAGTGTTTCGCGAGTTCGGCGCAAAAATTATCGTTGGTGGTAAGAAGATCACCGACGACTACGACGAAGCTGCTGCTCGCGAGCGCGGTGATGTGGAGGGCGAGTTGGTCGTTCCGGAAGACCGGCTGCCCGGACCTGGAGAAACTTACAACAGAAATCAGTACGTTGCCTGGCACGGCGCAAGCAGTGTTTATCACACAAATGCGCCCGCGGTCCCGCTTGTTGGTGGAAAGCCAGTTGATACCAAGAAACGCCGTGTGCCAGTGACTGATGATAACTGGATGCTCGAGCATGCCCGGGCTGCAAGGTGAGTTGATGTTTGATACCGAGCCACACGTTGGGCCGTGGACTAATACATAGTATAGTAACTTTAACTCCAAGCTCGCCGAAATGCGCCGTGCCAATCTGGGTGGTGTGTACGATGTGCACACCAATATTATGCAGCATCCGAAAATCATGCAGCCAACCCACGCCCGCTGGGAGCGCGTTTCCCCGGCTCCGACTTCTGTCCCGACCGAATTGACGACGAACATGAACTCATTGAACATCTCAAACGAAGCTTCTTCTTCCGGCCACGAAAAGCAGACGCCCCACGAAACCCAGGAATCGCGCGAGGCCACCACGGGCGAAACTTCTACCGAAAGCCCTGCCACTACCTTTTCCCCCGTTCCCACCCATCTCCATGACCACTACGTCATCCAGGATATCGTCTACGAATCCCCGCCATACTCAAACATGGGCATCCCGGGCCCTGATGGTGATGTGCAAGATATTGGCCCCAACGGCCTAGTCAGCGTCGCCAACCCCAAGCATCCCGAATTCATGAGTCCAGAGATCCTCCAGTTGCTTCCGTCGGAGTGCAAGGAAGCGCTCATTGATGCTGCAACACAGGAGGTTGAATGGAAGACCAAGTGGACCACCGAGACCATGAACGGCGAGCGTACTCAGCCAACCAAGAGCTACGCCTGGTACCCGTAAACCCTGTGCTTGATTTTTCTTTTTTCTTGGGGTTCTTGCGAGTCGGCGAAATTTATGGGTTATCATGGGCTGGATGGGTGGTTGGACATGGCAGGCGAAAGCCGCTGGAGTTATTTTCTTTCTTTCTGCTTCCGAGTCTGCTTTCGCTTTCTCAAGATATGCCTAGGATAGATATTTGACCATGATGTATTGACTGGTTTTTATTCCTTTTCGGTCTTCGAATGCATGCCGGGTCTACATGACTGAACTTGGCTTCGAATGATAGCCTTCTAGATAATGACGAACCACATTTTTTTTTCTACGATGACATGATGCTGGCCTGCTAGCCTTTCTGGGACCTTCGTCATAAATACGTTCTCTCTCTGGTAGCCCTTCGTCCGTATCTTCTGACTGTATGTAGTAGTACATGGACTAATGATTTACAACTAAATTTATGATGCATATCCAAAGCTGAGAGTTTAAAATTAATAACTTAGCTTACAAGAATAAATAAAACAAAGAAAACCGAGGTCATCTAAAACTCCAATTGAAAAAAAAAGCAAAATAAACATGAACCCAAGAGATCGAGGGAGTCGGCTTGAGAAAGGGTGTTGAGGAGTGGAACAGCCAGATAAAAAAAAATGACAGAAGACAAGACAAGACAGATCGGCACAGACCTCGGGGATACCTAGGTAGTGTCGGATCATATGTAAGGAGGGAATGGTAGAGAAACAAGAGAGATAGAGGTAATAAAGAAGAGTTACCGGTACGTCAGCACCGGGAGCCACAGGTGGAAAAAGGCTGATAGAACGGCTGGGTCATGCATGCGAGAGCAAAGGAACAAGGAAGAGCAAAGACGAGGCTGCATTGGTCGCGTGGTAGGAAGTAAGGGACCGTCACATGGCCATTTCCGCGCGCAACTTTGCCAGCTCGGCCTCTTCGTCTTCTTCCTCTTGTGCCTTGGCGGGGTGCTTGACTATAGACAAGTCGTCAGTGAGCGAGCTATACATGTGATACCGGTGTATATGGTTCCGTTCCAACTTACGATCTGTATTCCCCGCAGCTGGTAGCCGGTCCAGTTGACTGCCCACAGGTACGGTCCCGGTGTGAAGCATTTTCGCGTCCATCGCTTCCTGCTCCAGACCCTCCAACTCGGCATCGAGCTCTTCCTCGTCCGCCTGCTCGCCGATAGAGAAACTGGTAATGACGCTTCCGATCTCGGCGCTGAGGGCATGCTGCTCTTGGAGGCCCTCCCTGCGAGTTATTAGTAAGATGGTAATACAAGAATCGCGACAGGGCGATATGATAGATAAGGGTAAAGGTATTCAGTGAGCCCGCCATCAACGTACATCGTAGTGTCGACATCCTCGAGCTTCATTCCACCATGAATCTGCTTCATAGCGGCACCTGCCTGCTTCATAGCAGCCAAGGTCTCGTGGTTGATATTCGCGGCTTCGATGGAGTATATCTGCTGCTCGAGTTGCATACTCTGAGCTGTTGTCTGCTCGAGAGTCTTCTCGTGGATCTTTTTCCGTCGGAGGGCATTTTTAGCGGCTATTGAACACAAAGTAAAAAGAGCAATAGTTAGCCAAAACTGCAACCTTCAAATAGATGCCTAGCGACAATCTGCAAGATCCGCAGTCATACCATTCTTATCTGTGTTGACGTTCTTCCGCGCTATAGCCTCCTGTTCTGAGATCTGGCTCTCGAGATGCCTCTCACGTTTCTGCAGCATATCGAGCTGCCTGCGCAAATTTAGAATAGCCTCCTTGGGCATATCTTTCCGCTTCTGGGCGGCGGCCCCGCCAAACCAAGACCACATGGTGATGTCGGTGACTGTGTAACTGGGAAACCGAATGGAAAAAGTAAGCAGGATAGACTCCGGTGGTCAGGTAATAGCTAGGTAATATGTCCAAGGAGACCAGTGGCCGAAAATCTGGAGTGAGTGGGGAGAGAAGAGTAGATTGGTTGTTTTCTTTGCTGCGAGTCAGGTGGAGCGATAGGCTCTAGGCAGAGCCAGGGAGCCGACAGACGAAGTAAGAAAAGGGCGTAAAATGACCTCCGAATGAGCAGGGAATCTGAAGCACACGACTCGTCGAGAGCGCTTCCAAGGATAATCTCTGGATGAATGCAAAGTGTGGAGGGGAAGGAGCCCGACTTTCCCCTCGCTGAGGCTAGTTATGACATACACGGTAAGGTTAGTCACGTGCGCCAACAAGAACCGCTCTATAGCGCGGAAGAAGAACGTCATGTTTGTGGCTTTTTGATCTGTCTCTTATTCTTTTCTTTCAATATTCACACTTTTATAATGTTGAGCATCTTCTTCAACTAGCGCAGAGATGAATGGGCCGCGCCCCTCGACTCGCGTGTTCCTCTCCGATCTCTCGTCTCTACAGGCGGACTCGAAGGTCCGCTTTCTTGGCTGGTGCGTCAGGCCCAGAGCGAAGAAGAAATTGTATAAAGTTGAGGCTTTCCAATACTAACGATGATCTACGTTCTTGTGTACACATAGTGTGTTATATTATAACATCAAAACTGGCCATTTGATACTGGAACACAACTATCCACGCAGCAAGATAGCTCCAAGCTCTGTATCTGTCGACATCAATCCTCTCCTCGAGGACCTGACCGCCGAGGAATTGGGCGTGGGGACATGGCTGAATATCGTGGGCTATGTCAGAGAGTCGGAGCCGCTGCCGCCACCATCTTCATTCTCCTCGGACGCGAACCAGCCGAGCCAGAGGCCTTCTACGTGCCCCCCTCGTCCGGTGTATGTCGAGGCAATCATGGTATTTCCGGCCGGAGCTATTGCCATCGGGGAGTATGAGCGAATCCTTTGCAATTCTCAGCATGTTGAGCGGATGATACAGTTCAACAACTAAGAAAACGAAAACATCCGTAGTGGCTGAAAAGATGACATGGAACTAAAGCCAATCACGCATTAATGGAGCGTCTCTGCATTAGATATTTTGCTATGTAATCACTTTTCGAGCACCTCATATACAAGGCGAGGGGTATCAAGACGTAAATCAAAACACCAGGCCAAAAGGCCTCAGAAGGCAACCTAAACCGCCTCTTCCACTTTCTTCTCATCTGAAAGATGCACCTGCTGAAGCTGAACCTGCCTCCTAGCCCGCTTCCCCTCCAGCTTCATCTTCTCCTCCTGCATGCGCAGAATAAGGGGACTCTTCATACGAATCTTATGCCCATACTTATAGAACACAAACGGAATCGGCACGATCACGACCTCCAACAACCCCAACAGAGTGCCCGCCCAATTCGGCCCCAGACTGGCGTACATAGAAGATCCAGCAAGAGGCAGAACACCACCGAGGATACTCCGAATAACCGAGTTACCCGCTAAAGCAGAAGCAGCATACATGCCGTAACTGTGAGTCAGGTAGTTGGACGAATAGATGAAAACACCGGTGTTTCCAGCGCCGAACGGAATACCCGCGAGCAGGGGCACAATCCAGGGTATGGAGGCTGGGGAGCAGGTCCATGCAAACCAGAGCTCGCCGACTGGGATCAACGCTGCGCAGATGCAGACGAACGAGACCATTGCCTCGGGGTGTAATTTTCCGGTCTCGGGGTCTTTGGCGTGGCTATTGATTAGTCGCCGGATTAAGGGTTCGCAGGCGATTGTGAGGACGACGCCGATCCCGATGCCTAGGAAGGCGAGCCCAGAAATGCCCAGTTCCCACCCGCGAATGTCTCGGAAGACGATTGGGTAGGCTACGAAGCAGAGGTACAGGATGCCGTAGATGATTGCGATGTAGATGTTCCAGAAGATGCTGAGCGTGTTAGAACATGCGATGTGGGTTGCTGCTGGGTATGTAAGTGTAAGAAACTCACCAGATTGGTTCGGTGACTGCCATTACAAATGGCCGGCTGAGGTTCAGTTTGAGGATTTCAGCAAGGCTCGCCTTTTGGTCGTATCGACTCCACCAGCGGGAATCGCCGCTCTCCTTGCGCATTCTGGCTGCTTTCTTTTGGAGAATGGTTGGTGCATATGTTTCCTTGAGGATGATAGCAAAGACCAAAGCAATAGCGGAGAGCATGAGCGCGATCCAGCACATCCAGCGCCAGCCAAGATATTCAGTGACGAAGCCTCCGATAACAGGACCAATGACTACATCCTGTTAGAGATGGACTCGTTATATCAGAAAAGAGAATAAGGGAAGAACAAACCTGGTCCGTTGAGTGGCCCAATACTCCAAACAGAGATTGCCAGAGCACGGTGCTCATCATCCACCAAATCAGCCACCATACCGGGCGCGGTAGAGATCATGACACTGCCGAAGAAAGCAGCGATGAAGCGAATGACGATCAGTGCCGTGACGGACTTGGCGAGTGCGCAGGGGATGATCAGGACTGTGAACACGGCAAGACAAATTACACAGACAGGTTTCCGTCCGTAGACTTCGCTCAACGGGGCCATGAACATGGACCCGATGGCAAGACCGAACAGATAGAAGGTCAAGCCAAGGGTGACGATAATCCTGGATTGGCCGAATTCCTCCGCCATTAATGTGATACCTGATGTATAAGAAGTTGAATATAACACGCTTCCGAGTTTGTTAGCTAAGGAATCTCGCGCTTCCGAACTTCAAGATAGAAACTTACACGATGAGAGTATTCCATGATAGAAACACGATGCCCATGGACTTATACTTGAAGTTCCAATTCTTGGGGTTCTCAGGGTCATCATTGCCATCCCAGTCGACTTCATAGTCGGGGTCAGCGGTGGCATTGGTTGCGATTGTCGTTACACGCTCCGACAGTGACATATGCGAGGTCCGCGAGGCACGAGCTGTCAATGTCTTTCCTAGCGCATCGCGCTCGATCTGTGCGTCTATCGTGGAAATTGACTCGATAGAGTCTGTGTCTTGGGACATCCTCTCAGTGTGTTCGGGCCATTTATCTTGGCCCTCCAAATTGAAGTCCTTTGTTGCCATTCCCTGGACGAAGGGCTTTCAAACCAATGAAACAGTACCGGGAGCTTGGGTGTGTACCGGAGATCAAATGGCAAGTTACTCCAATATTAAGGGTCGCAGTTGATAGAATAGGAGAAATAAGAGCAAAGAATCCCCCTATTTTCGATTTCAGCCCCGAAATAAGGTTGTAGAAGTAGAGTGTGTCGCTCTCTCCTTTTTTTTTTTATAGAGATGTGGTGGAAAAGCTGCAAGTCCTGAAACCGAGGTTGCTTTATCAACAGCAAGCCTCCAAACTGACACAGATTGTGACAGAAGATAGCCCTGGAGAAATTGAAGGCATTTATCATCAAAACACTTGGAAGGTGGGGCTGAAAGTCATTGATAAGCATATTCAAAGAGAATTTGCTACGCTCGTAGGGCGTACATGGCTTGCAGGATTTGCGATGTGCCGAGAAGATGATCTATAGCCCAGAAAAAAAAGGGGAGGATACTTACTTTTCCTAGTACCAAATTGTATATAACTATAGGGTAACAGAGCATCAGATTTCCCTTATATCCCTATACCCCCTATACTACTCCGTGCCTGGACTATGTCCTACAAGCCCTTGGCATGGATTTCCCCATGGGCAAAGCGATTTGCCATGGCGTGATATCTCCGCAAAGACAGAACTTGTGTGTTCCGACCCAATTTGTCTCCACACGGCCTATTAGGCTCGAAAGAGTGCACCATGTGGGTTCTAGCCTGGGCTGTAGCGTGCCGGTTTGCCGAATACTGCCTGTGAGAGCTGTGCAATATATACTGAGGGTGTATTTCTCATGGCATAATAATAATAATCATTCCATGTATACTACTTCGACCTTGAAGTATAAAGTAGATATCAATTTTGGTCCAGATCAAAGTGGGCTCGCGTGGAACCGGGAAAAAGCGGGTTGTGAAGAGAATGAAACATGAATGAAACAAGAATAGAAACTTCTATTTCGATCCCAACTGGTTATAGTCACTTTTATGTATGTAACATTGTGGAAGGTTTCAGTTCTGATGATGTTGTACGCTAACAGTAGTTTCACATTCGATCTATAAACCGAAGAAATCCCCGGAAAGCTATAATAGAAGGCTATACATGGAAAAGTTTCCGCATACCAATTCAAGAAGGCATAGATGATATCTATGAAATGACACCCAAAAAGACATCTAAGACAACTACTATTAAGCTAACTAGATCATGTTGTTCTTAACAGAGACCACAAACGCACCCGACTATTCTTGTTTGTCTAATACAACATAGATACGGCATAGGCATTCTACTTAAAATCTCTTGTCTTAAGTGACAAACGGGGACCCTGCATAGGTTTGAAGCTTCAACCGCACCCCGTTCCAAATGAGGCGCTCTCACTGGCAATTAAGGGGTCTCAGGCCGGTTGTTCACATAGCCGAACTAAGGTCTAAGCGACCCGTCGAATGGGTCTATCAGATCGTTTAATATCGTATCTGAAACAGGTCGCTTTAAATATAGACCTTCAAACGGCCCTATGGCAAATAATGGCAAACTTCTTGTACTCCCTTGCAAACTTCTTTTTTAAAAATCCCCTGTGACACTTCAACCTTGGAAAAAAAGTATTCTGTAACTGTCCAACTATCATGACGTCGCTCATAGTAGCTAGCCTGGCTGTACTAGGTGCTCTTTATATGTGGCGTGTCAACTCTGCTATGAAAGTAGTCCCCGAAGAGGCACGGAAACTATCACCTCATCGTTGGACAGTCGAAGAAATCAAAGCAGCTTACAAAAAGAGCCTAGAAAACCCTATCGATGTGACTAAGAGCCTGCCACCAAAACAATCCCGACGATATGTGATCGTAGGCGGAACTGGTAAGTATACATATAGATCGCTTTTCGATTTCATTTACTGACTTTCCGAACTACAGGCCTAGTTGGTGCTTGGATAGTCTCACATCTTCTCGCACGGGGCGAAGACCACAAGGCAATTCGCATTCTAGACCTAATATCTCCAGAGCAGGACATCCTCAACAAAGGCGTGGGCTGGATCAAAACCGATATCACCGACGAGCTCGCAGTAACAACAGCATTCGAAGAGCCATGGGCTGCCAATGTCACCAACCTTGCCCTAACAGTCTACCACACCGCAGCCATAATCCGACCACAGGACCGACTCAAGAGCTTCCTACCACTTAGCAGCAAAGTCAACATCGACGGCACACAGAATGTCCTGAACGCCGCAAGAGCCGCCGGCGCCACAGCCTTCATCTGGACATCCTCAGGCTCCGTGGCCCTGCACCGACCAACCTTCTGGATCGCGCCGTGGGCGACCCAGCCTAAGCGCGTAGTCCAAGTAATCGGCGACAGCACCAAACTGCCCGGATCTCACTACCAATTCTTCAGCAACTACGCCGTAACCAAAACCGAAGCAGAGAGCCTCGTCCGCGCAGCAGATAACCCAGCAACAAACTTCCGCACCGGCTGCATCCGCCCCACGAACGGTGTCTATGGCACAGGCGGCCAAGCCAACAATGTCATCACGGGACTTTACCTCCGCAACGGTGGCAGTCCGACCTGGGCTCGCCCAATCCTGCAGAGTTTTGTGCACGCTGAAAACGTCTCGATCGCACACCTCTTGTACGAACAGCGTCTGATCCAGCAGAGCGAGCCTGGTTCGCAGCTCCCAAATACAGGCGGCCAGGCGTTCACCGTTAGCGACCCCAACCCGGCGATTGCATTTAATGATTTGTACACGCTACTCACGACGTTGTCCAAAACGCCGCTTTCATTCCCGGAGGTGCAGCCCTTGCCGTTGTTGGTGATGGCGTATTTTATTGAGATGTATACTTTCTTGCAGTTTAGATATCTCTCTTGGTTGCCGAGGTTGTCAGGGGATATTGGGCAACTTCAGCCGTCGCTGTTTTCCATTATCAATGTTCATGTGTTTGCTGATGATTCGCGCGCGAAGCTGGCACCTGAGATGGGTGGGTTAGGGTATAACCCGCCTCTAAACACACTCGAAGGTCTGTGTCGGCGCCTTGTGGATTGGAATACGAAGGCCGAAAGAGAGGGGGTTGAGGTCATGGGGAAGAAGATACGGTTGGGCCCTGTGCAGGTTTCGGGAGATGGTGTCAATGTGGTCGCCCCGGTGTTGTGAGGGGGATTTGAGTTTGTTCGATTTACTCGATCTGAGTGGAGGAGCAGACATCGCACCGGGTTATTTTTTTATGAACATGATATGGCGTACAATTAAATCTGTACTTGATCTTAGGAGTTCGGTTGTAAACTGGAATACGATTTGGCGTGAAATAGAATCATATTTGGAGATAACCTTGGAGGACTCATTGAATCTTCTGCAACTTCCCAAAATGTGGAAAAGCCGGGGCCGACCCGCAGTACCCGACCATATCACGGTCTCATTCCTCCTCAATCATCATTTTGACACAAAAGCCATTGTTAAAGCCGGCATGGAAATTGATAAACCTCCATAGATAGTCGTAGCTTGAGATTGATAGTGACCTCGGGACACTCTGCCGAAACACACCGAGAACCCAGTGTCGAGCCGTGTGGGCGAGCAGAAGTCCTCGGTGTAAAAGCAAGAGCGATACACATAGGCCACTTTCGAAGGTATTCATGAGCGAAGGAATAAGGCCATGTAAATCTCAAGTCGCACACATGGCACTCCACCATGCAAGCGTTCCATCAAGCAGACTGTGCGACCAAGAACATGAACCCCTCAGTAGCAGAAGGTCGCTAGAATGACAAGCTTCTATTTTTCAGAAAGATAGTCACGAACAAGACGAGAGTTCTCCTTAGCGAGCCTGTTGCTGAGCCACTTGACGCATATGGTCAAGACGCTGCATGCGCAAACGCTCAGATGCCACCTCAACATCAAGAATCGCCCCGAGACGGTTCTTCCACGTCTCCTCCAGACTGACTAGCTCGCCCTGGATCGCCTCCTGTGCAATTTTTCTCTGCTTGTTCACCTCCTCAGAAGCCTGTTTCGTCTCTGCCAACTCCTTCTCGAGAGAACCAAGTATCTCCTCAAGCTGTGAATTGCCAATCAGCCAAGCGTTCTTGCCATGCTCTTCTAGCAGAGCCAGGTTCTCGTGGCGCTTGGACAGGTGCGAGCTTGACGAATATGCCTTCTGCAAAGTCTGGCGCCATGCGTCTAGGTCGGGTGCCTCGGTGTCTGATGCGCGAGTCGGGGCATCTGGTGCTTCGTAACGGGATAGATCGATTCCGCCTGTGAGAGGTGCTCCCTGCGCTTTGCGCGAGAGTTCTTGTTGCATCAATTGAGAGAATTTGGGTTCCGGCAGTTCGGGGATCCAAGAATGTATTGTGGAGGTGTGCTCTGGGGATAGCTCTGCGTTGATGAGCTGCTGCGCTCGCGCTTGCGCGGACGCAGTGGGCGCCGCGTCGATATCTTAGAACGTTAGTGATTGGGACTTCAACGCACATCTCTTGTCCAAACTGGATACGTACATGGCAGCGAGTCATGAGATTCGTTGATTAACGGCATTTTGAAGTGGTTTTCTTGTATGGATGTCAAGATCAAGACCTGTAGATTAATCTGAGAACCACATGAAGGCGGCGAGCCCTTGAGTATCGCTGACTCAGCTAGTATTGAACTAATACCACGTGACCCCATCTTTTATATGTACCGAGGCAGAAACGAACAAAGTAAACAGTTCTAATTTGCGAGGCATTTAGTATATTTAACGTGAATGCACCAACAGCTTCATTCGAGTCATGAGATAGGTTGGTTGTGTATATTGCTGCAGCAAAAAGCAGGGATGGGACCAGCATTTCCCCTCTAGGAATGCTCTCAACGATGATCCTATCCAGTTTGGATTATTTTTTACGCGAAGTACCTGAGTCTCAAGGCAAGCTTCCAGCCCACCGGATAAAAACAGGCAATTCAATCTTCACCAGCACATCTTGTGCGGGGGGAGTGCAGCGAAAGTCTATTCCCTTTTAGGTGTTCGGATGCAATGGATGACGATCGCTTAGACAAATGTCACCTACCAACCTCGGGAGTACTTCATGTACACTAATGATCAGCTTCTTCACCAGGCTTGGGAGTACTTGTGTAATGATTTTCTGCACTCGTAGGTCGCTCGTTCGTCTTCCCACTATATCCCCTACCAGTGCCCTCGTATAAGAACCCATATCTCCCTGGGATCTCAACTCTTCAAGGGCTACAGTTACTCAGCGCAGATTTATCTATTATTAATTGTGATTGTATTGGAATCCCTTCTCCATGATGGCTCACTTTCGCATGGGCGTGACTTTTGTTGGGGTGACTCTTGCGCTGCTGGTGTTTTTGCAGCTGAGTGCGGTATTCAAGCTCGATAGCCAGTCGCAATTGCCTTCGCCTAGCTTTATTTCAAACTTCAACCAGTGGAGAAGCAGAGCAAGCTCGGCGGCAACTGATATCTTTGTGGTCGGAGCAGGCAAGGCAGACGTAACTGGGTATGTTTATGCGTTAATTCTGACATATCAATACACTGAGTTGGCTAATATGATTACTAGGCCCGTTGTGGAGCTTGCTCTTGCTGGCTATGCCAGTTTGGACCAACTAGGCACTGGTTTAAAGCAGAGACTGTATTCTCACGCCTTCATCTTCGCAGACCCAGATAAGCCCGATGACACTTTTGTTTACCTGGTTGTCGATACACTTGCGGGTGACACGGCCGTGCGACATGGTGTCTTGGAGGGTCTCACTGCACTCGGTGGGGAGTATGCACGGTACGGCGAACACAACGTTGCAATGACGGGAACACATTCGCACTCCGGGCCTGGAGCGTGGATGAACTACCTGTTACCTCAGATCCCGGCACTAGGCTTCGACAAGCAAAGCTATCAAGCCATTGTCGACGGCACTATTCTGTCAATCGTCCGTGCCCATGAGAACTTGGCGCCGGGTCGGCTCTCTTTTGGATCCATCGACTTGCAAGACACTAATACAAACCGCAGTCCTTTTTCATATGAGCATAATCCCGAGGAAGAACGGGCGCGGTATTCTGCCAATGTTGAAAAATCGCTCTCGCTCATTCGGTTTGATCGCGAATCCGACAATAAAACCGCGGCTGTCCTAACATGGTTCCCTGTTCATGGCACATCTATGTACAACAATAACACTCTGGTCAGTGGCGATAACAAAGGTGTTGCGGCTTACCTCTTCGAGCGCAGCGTCCACGGCGATGCGAGGTTCACCGAGGATGCCGTAATTGGATTCTCTCAGGCGAGTGTTGGGGACACATCCCCTAATATCCTCGGTGCTTGGTGCGAAGACGGCTCTGGAGAGATGTGTCGATATGAAGATAGCACCTGCGGTGGCAAAAACGAGGATTGCCATGGTCGAGGTCCTTTCTTCCGTGAGAACGACAATGGAGCGAAGAGCTGCTTCGAGATTGGGCGCCGCCAGTACTTAGCAGCAAAGAAGCTTTACGAAGAGATGGACACCACCCCTATCAAAATTATTGGAGGTTCAGCCGTGAAGTCTTTCCATGTGTACCAGGACATGAATGGCTACACATTCCCATCGCCGTTCAACTCTAGTACGCTAACTACTTGCTCTGCGGCTCTGGGGTACTCGTTTGCCGCTGGAACTACAGATGGACCTGGTGCCTTTGACTTTACCCAGAATGCTACTAGTCCAGCTGAACGCAACCCCCTGTGGCAAGTTGCGCGTGCAGTTATTCACCAGCCCAGCGAAGCGCAGCAGCAGTGTCAAAGTCCAAAAGACGTCCTATTGGATATCGGAACTCTTACTGAACCTTATGCTTGGGCCGCGGACATTGTCGACATCCAGGTCTTACGAGTGGGTCAGCTGTTCCTCATTATATCCACCAGCGAAGCTACCACGATGTCTGGGCGACGCTGGAAGGAGGCTATTGCGAAAGAAGCAAAAAACCAACTTTTAATTTCCGATCCTTTAGTGGTACTAGGAGCCCCATCAAACAGCTACGCTCACTACGTGGCGACAGAAGAAGAGTACGGCGCTCAGCGCTACGAGGGCGCGTCCACACTCTACGGCCCAAACACGCTGGCAGGTTATGTCAATCTGACCCTTACTTATCTGCCATATTTGGGAAGTTCCTCAGGAGTTGCCAAACTCCCAGCCATCCAACCCGGTCCCAACCCATCAATCAATACCAACCGTTCCTTGAGCTTCATTGCAGGGGTTGTGTATGATGGAGCGCCCATTGGCAAACACTTTGGGAATGTGACTTCAAACCCGGGGAGTGGACCCTATGGCCCCGGAGATATTGTGAAGACGACCTTTGTGGGCGCCAATCCCCGCAACAATCTGCACCTCGAATCGACATACGCTGCGGTTGAAAGAAAAAGCGATTCTGGCACATGGGAGGTTGTGCGCAATGACCGTGATTGGAATTTGGTCTTCATGTGGAAGCGGACCAATGAGATTCTTGGCCATAGTGAGGTGACAATTCAATGGGAGATTGAGGATGAGTATTATACTGTCGACACTACGTCCCCCCTGCAGGCTGGGACCTATCGGATGCATTATTATGGAGACTCAAAGAATATTTTTGGCCAAATCTCGCCATTCGAGGGCATTAGTGAGACTTTCACAGTGAATACTTCATAATCTGACTCATTCAGAATATGGGTGTGTGTGGCTTGGTGGCAAGTTGAATGAATGGTGTCAAATAATCTAATTGCCAAAATGTACAACCCAGTAACCAGGCCTCAGTGATTATATCTTCACTTACGCGCCCGTACACGTAGCAAATGAATTAGCCAGACACTCTCGGTCTACCAATCTATCTGGTCCATATGTCAACATGGAATCCTTGATAATAATAATAAAGTGGTCCTGCACCTGCAGCCAGCCAATCACCACGCGCCATCGATCAAGGCCGGGCGCCTACTGCGACGTCTCTTTGTCGCGCGATCTATTTCTAGCATAAATTCGTCTCACAAAGAACCCCTTGCAATAGCGGTTCCCTCTGGGAATGATACTACTGGGTTGTTTCAGACTTATCCATGGAAAAGCTCCCAAGGATGAACAATGAGCGGCTGACAGGAAGCCCTAAGCCGACTTGGCCAGAAACCCCAGAGTGCAGATATATCAGCCAGGGTCCTCGAAGGCGAGGGCTTTGAAAGAGAAATCTCTTTCCTAATAAAATCTCAGGTTGCTTCATCTTGCCCCATTCTTTTGTTTCTCTTCATTTTTGTGGTCCCTAGTGATCCAGTCATTCTTTCATCTGCAAGCCATCAAGACGCCTCCTAGGCCTTGTATGCATTCCCATTAATTTCATAATATTTTCTTTGGGTATGCTTTTTTATACATCGGATTGTCTCTGTTTTATTCAGGTGCTCTAGTATATCTCTGATTGAGCACCCAATTCTCTTTACTGTCCCACTTTGTCGAAGTCGTGTCCCGGCGATCACTTCCAACACTCTCGTTTCTAAACCAGGATGCTTCGCTTTCAGTTCTTTTTGTTCCTTCTTCTGCCGTGGATGGCTTCGGCTGGTCCGATCTCTCGCTGGTTGTCTCGGTCATTGGAGGCATCTTCGCCGACTTATTTCCCCTTATTGCCGGATATCGAACGGCGTCAAGCTGGCGGTATCACCGCAATCACGCCTGTGGCAGCACCTACCCAGCAATCGTTTACGTACGACGAGCCAATAGTACTTACCCTTTTCTAAACCATTAAGTCAACCACCTAGCTAACCATCACTTCAAAGCCAACTACATACCATGCGTCATCCACAACTCATAACACAACCACCAGCCAGAGGCCAACTACGCAGCAGCCAACTCCACAGCAACCAACCACGACTCATAGTACAACTACTAGTCAGAAGCCAACTATGCAGCAACCAACTACAACTCAAGAGCCAACTACAACTCAGGAGCCAACTACAACTCAGGAGTCAACTACAACTCAGGAGCCAACTACAACTCAGGAGCCAACTACAACCCATAAGCCAGTCATCACCTCTCATGTGTCCACTACCACTCGGCGATTCATATCCTCATCCACAAACCCGGGAATGCTGCTTTCATCAACAATAACTAGCGTATTACCTGCGTATATTCCAGGCTCAACATCCTCTCTCGATTCTTTGGTGGTGCCGAGTTCAGCCCAATCTTCATCGGCTACGCTTCTAGGTGGAACAACCAGCATCAAAGCTACCACAGCCACATCGCCAATATCGACCTCTACGACCATACACCCAACAATATCACCGGTGCCCACAGTGCCCACAAGTCGTAGCCCAACGGTCGGAGTCATTCTACCTCTAGGAGGAGCAAGCAGCAGCAATTATTCCACGTTCACACCGGTGGTATCAACCTCCGATTCCATCCAACCAGCAAAGGCTACGCAGGCATCCATACAGCTTCTTACCTCAGAATCCAAGCCAGTGGTGACCGTAACCGAGCCTGTGATCGTATATGTGACTCAAGGAGCGCCAGCTCCCTTCTCGACAAGTGTCATCCATCACGCACCTAGTGTCAATAGTTCATCGGTATCATTGGCAAATTCAACGTCTGTTGAACCAACAACTACATCTTTGACGTTTGTGACCATCCATTCCACTGCAACATCGGTTGTTCGTGTCACTGTTTACCCAACATCATCACCATCATCTGCTTCTTCGCTTTCGGTCTCAACCGGGAGCACTTCGAGTGTGAATGCAACGCCAGTTGTTCCTATGACCGGTGACTCGACAACACTTTCGCTTCCTTCATCGTCTTCGTTGTTGTCGTCCTCCTCGAGTGAGATTGCTTCTGTGGTAACAGCTCACGTCACTTCCACGAGTGTTGTTCCTCTGACTGTTCACCCAACTACGTCGTTGCCTGTATCTTCGTTGTTGCCGTCCTCAAGTGAGAATGCTTCTATAGTGACAATCCGTGTCACTTCCACAAGTGTTGTATCAGTGACCGTTTACTCGACAACATCGCCATCTGCTCCATTGTTGCCGTCTTTAAGTGAGACTGCTCTGCGTGAGACTGCCCCTGTTGTGACAGCTCATGTCACTTCCACAAAAACAATTCGCGTGACCTTGTATGGTACTGCTACCCGAGCAGCGAAAACTACACATACAGCAGATCCCACATCTACTGTGGATGCCAATATCGCTACCACAACCTCTAAGGCAGGCCAAGGCATACTTACTGTGAATCCGGTTACGCCGCCTGGCTTTATCACGATCACTGAGACTGAGACGGAGACAAAGACTAAGACAGTGACAGATCGCATTACTGAGACTGTTACTGCCACCGTCACTCGGAATTAATTGTATGATTGGGAGGAAATTGATTCTTTTATCCTTTTAATTATTATGCATGGAGGCTTCTTTCGCTGAGTTTTTTTCTTTCATATTTCAGACTAATTTCTCTAATCTATGTCGAAATGTTCTTTATAGCTACAAGAATACTAAGCTTTATTCAGGCTAAGCCATAAGATGACATGTTCTGTCCTCTGTACATACCTTAGCTTTTGCTATTGTATATCCAAAATAAACTTTAGAGATCATGTCCGATTTAGACCCATATAGATCACATCGGCTGTGTTTTATCATTTCTATAATATAGGCGAGTCTCCCAAGGTCAGACAAACCCTTGCAATCGGATAGTACTATGAGCACAACCACCTCTACCTCGCCTTCCACCTAACCCTCCCAACCCAGATAGCCCAGTCCCGCACATCCTCCCTCTCACATATCCTCTCAACAGTAAACCACTCCCTAGCCAGCTCCTCATTACTCGCCATGCGATGCACGAAACTATGACAAGCGCGACAAAGCCACGCCACACTATTCAACATCCACTCATCATGCCACCCCCTCTTAACGACCTTCGCATGCACCCCGCGGGGAATCAAATGGTGATATGAGAGCGGGATCCAGTCGCGCTCGCAGATCTCGCACGCGTCCGCGCGCGTGCTCGCCCATGCCAGCGGGCCAGTCGTCACGCTCGATGTGTACTCCGCCAGCACGGGCGCGAGGAAGTCCAGCAGGTCTGCCGCGTTGGGAATGATGCCATAGACGACTAACGAGTCGGTTACGCTAACAGGGATTAGAGAGAATAGGGTTTCGAGCGTGGCGCGTGGGAGGGGCGTGTCGGTGTCTTGGGGGATGTAGAGGGTTGATAGGGTTGGATCGTGTTGGATGGCTGCGTAGCTTAGGGTTTGGAGGGCGGTTGGGAAGGTGGTGAAGGTTTCTGAGGCTAGGAACTTAGGTTGTTAGCTTTGAGTCCTGTCAGTTGTTGGCTGTGATGTGTAGGTTTGTTGGGCCTGATTGCTTTGCGCTAGGTTGGACTTGGCCGGGTACAATGTACATCAACAAATTCGGCGAGCTCTTCCGGGTCTGCTTGTCCCTGTTGAGAGGTTGTCGCTGTTATTACGTCTTTGCGCCCGGTGCGCTTGCCCTTTGGCTTCCGTCGCGCTGGCTTCTGTTTTTCCTCTGAACGAGCCACGATGGCATTAGACAGACATTCGCGGAACACAGCATAATTCTCATTGGAAGTCATTGAGACTAGCCTTGACCTATAGCTCGGTCCGGAGGGGATGTCGGGCAAGTCTGTTTTGCCCCGCGGAAAATTGACATCATTCTTCAGTGACCTTCTTCAAGGCTCCGAACTTCACTGCCTTTGACCTCGAGATTTATGAAACATCATGACAGCTAATACAGCCAATACAGTTGTCGCTTTTGATTTATATGGCACTTTACTCTCAACTCAATCGATCGCCAAACACTTAGAGAAACATTATGACAATGCCAAGGCGCAGTCTATCTCCGCGCTCTGGAGGCGGTATCAACTGGAGTACACATGGAGATTGAACAGCATGGGCAAGCAACACTTCCAGGCTTGGCGCTCAAATTATTGACGATCAAAAGGCCGCTATGAAGACTTCTCAGTCATCACTCGTAATTCCCTACTGCACGCGCTAGCCGATAACAACGAGCAGCTGAGCAACGACAACATCGAACGCTTGATGCAAGCTTACGATAGTCTCTCTACATTTTCTGACGTGAATCCAGCTTTGATCAACATCGCTGCAGACCCAACCATCCAAGCTGTTATATTCTCCAATGGGACGAAAACCATGGTAACCAACTCGGTGTTGCGATCAAAGGACCTTTCGCCGCACGCGAGTGTCTGTCAAGAAATCGTCACCATAGACGAAGTCCAGCAATATAAGCCATCAAAGGCAACCTACGAGCACCTAGCGAAGCAGATAGGCCAAGATCCGTCGCAGATGAGCAAACTTTGGCTGGTTAGCGGCAACCCTTTCGACATTGTCGGGGCGCGCGCTACAGGCATGCAGGCTATATGGGTTGATCGTGTTGGTACAGGATGGAAGGACGCCATGGCTCCAGATCTACAACCAACGGCCATTGTACACAGTCTGGAGCAAATTGTGAACGAGATTCATAGCCGTCGCCTTTAAGCTAGGGCATAGAGAACAAACTTCGAACGGAGGTATCTAGACACTAGACACCAAGAGAAGTTGTGAAAGGAATGTACAGCTGAATATATTTCCAAACGCTCCACACTTGAGTAGAAGAGTTTGGGGTAAGCCAGCAGATTTGCTCTTTCCTCCCATTTCCCCTCCAGAACAGTGATTGTAACAAAGGTTCAGAGTGAATAGGGAGGAATTCAGTTTATGTGAAGAAGAAAAGGAAGAGCGCGCTCGGCGAAAAATTTCTCGATCAAATAGTACGAGCTTAGTCATCCGACTGATATCCCATGGGTCACGTGTGAGCTTCGCTTATCGATAAGGTGCCTGTCCAGATGCTTTTGAACTCGTCGTTGGCAAGGAATATTTGAACCGGTGAAACTGCAAGCCATGTCGCGACTCCTGGATCCCAGCCGAGCTGCTTGGCTTTACCCTCTTCGGGTATGTCAATTTGGGGCCTCCTACGCTTCAAGACTAACCTGAACAGGGAATCTACTATTTTGCGTCGAATCGATTCCTATGGCCTTTCTTCAAGGCCCGCCTTGTCCCAATCGTCCTCCTTTCTTCCTTCATATATTTCATCCTATTTTTCTTCACCTACCTGCCCCAGGTTGCCTTCCTTGCCATCTTTCAGGGCAGCTCGGCATGGGTGAGCGGCGCATTCCTGGTGCTTGGTGAAGGAGCTGCAATTGTTGCCGCCCTCTTCGAGGCATTCTTCGTCGATGAGACCCTAGTGGATATATTCGATGCAGTGTTAGTAAATGAGGGTCAGGAGGAGCTTGTTACTACCTCGCGGGTCATTTACCCCGAGCCTGGCAACCCCGCCAAGCGTCTAGGCACGCCGACCACCAGTGCCGTGTATTCTCCATTTTCGTTGCGGCAGATCGCCGAGTTTATAATCCTGCTTCCGCTTATATTTATTCCGGTGGCCGGCACCCCTATGTTCCTAATTTTGACTGGCTATCGTGCCGGTCCCCTCCATCACTGGCGTTACTTCCACCTGCTGGACATGTCCAAGCAGCAGAGAAAGGAAACCATCAGTCGGCGTCAGCTGCAGTACACTACGTGGGTCATGTTCATTTCCTCTGTTGATATGAGATCTAACGCCTTCTAGCTTTGGGACGATGGCTCTGATCCTTCAGCTGATTCCTCCTTTCTCTATGCTATTTCTGATGACCACGGCTGCTGGGTCGGCACTTTGGGCGACGGATATCGAACGCAAGCGACGAGCTATCAACCAACAGTCCAGTCGACTGGGTGAACAATACAGTGACGATATTATGCCTTGACCTGTGAACGATATGTCTCGAGATTACTGCAAATACATCTAATTTTCCTTTTCTGGTTCCTGATTCAGCTTTGATCTATGCCACTAGGGAGGAGCAATGAATATTGTTAAATCCAATCTAATTCCCTCTCCGTGATTAAATTCGAAACGGCGGACTTGGGAATTGCTTTTTCGAGCGCTGTCATGGTAACTCCCTAATGCCCTCCGCCATAAAAAAGACACGTCCGCGCCACTATTCCTCACCTTCTCTCACTTTTCCATTCTCCCTGCTTCTCTGTCTTATACTCATCGCTGTGCCTTTGCAATTTCGCCCGCTCAATTGGACTCACCGACTACGCTACCAAGCTGGAGACCCACCTCAAGGCTTTGATAGATTGAATTTACATACGCAGGCGTCGAGGCATAAGCAGTAGTTACAAATAGTTATCAATCCCATAACTAATTAAATAAATAATAATATAACTAACTAACCAGATGTTTAACATACAACATAAATCGGTGGCGGGTTTTCCCGACTAGGTCTAGCGGCGCTCTGCGGGCCTAGGTGGAGCCCCGGGGAGCATCGGCCTCAGGATCCATGTGTACTCGACTAGGAAAACGGGAAAACGGCCGTTTGTCGGCAATTTCCCAAAACCTCAATAAGTTGTGATTAGGGAGATCTCTTCTACCCTAATGTTGCATCAGAGTGGTCTTTCCTCACTCCTTATCTTGATATCCACGGTAATATGATTGACAGGATGGACCTATCCAACCAACCGCTGCCAGGGGGGCTGCCCTCGGAGATCTGGCTTCACATTTTCACCATGGTATGTCTTGTAAAACGCAAAGAAATCAATAAAATGCCAAGCTCACATCACAATTCAGCTGGATTGCCCCTCCCAGTGAACAACTCCCGTGGAAAAGTTATATCCATCCCACTCATTTGTGTGTGCATGTGAAAAACATTGTCGTGGTGCACTCCTATGGTGTTTCTCCTTACCAGTTTGACTTCTGTGATGAGTTTGTGGAATTCCTATCATACCTATTTAGGGTGGCGGACAATCTTCAGAACTTTCAGTATGTTGCTTTCTCTTTCGTTTTGACACAGCGCTGATTTCCTTTAGCTGGTGGCATGAGAGATATATGCCAGGGGAAATTTTGTACCATCTTTACAAATACTGTCCCCAAGCAAGTGTCCACATTGCTAGCTCGAAAGTTGCACTATGTGAGAAAATCAACAAGGATGATTCATCGGCACCTCAACTCTCCTGTATCCGTTCAATCGAATCAGAATGGTACACCGGAGAGTATGATAGACCAATCAGGCCAAGTTCAGCTGCAAGCTATCCAGCTGAATTGAAAGATATTATTTATCGAAGTAAGAACCTCAAAAACCTCACACTGGTTAGCACGTCAAATTGGAGGCCGCTTTCCAGGACGCCGCGTCATGATGGCGACATCTCACCTCATGTCAAGCGGAGGGAACTTGAAGCCCAAAGGAATCAGAGGGGTCTCATTATGTTGGAAGAAGGGAATATTCTTCCTCAAGTCAAAAACATTCAGTTCCAAAGTATGAGATTTGGACCTCTCCAGAGCACGTTATGGGCCACACAACTACAATGGCATACCATCAAACATTTATCCTTGATCGCCGTCGATTGGATTCACTTGTTGCCCAAGATCACTGCTCCTAGCTGCTTTCATGCGCTAGAGACTCTAGAGATAAGCATTTATTATAAAACAGACCGCCCTGAATCTATCGAACGGGTGGAGCAATTCCACGACTTTCTGAAAGAGCTTCCACCTTTGAAAATGTTTATCGGGTATGGATTTCCACAGAAAACTCTGGGGGTATTGGCGAAATATCACGCCAAATCCCTTCATCACCTACGGTTTCGATCTTCATTGAGACTCGATCTTGACGGGGGAAAATCTCCTGCCAGCATTCACAATCTCGTCAATCTAGCCGATCAACTCCCGAACTTACTATCTCTCGGTATTAATCTGGACTGGATGCCCGACGATGAAATGGTGAGTATCCCCGCCATTATTTTACCATTCATGGAGGCTTCCCAGTCGCTAATATTACTATAGCCATACGATCTTCTCGTCAACATTGTTCAACACACTCATCTCCAACATTTAGAACTCAACATACCAGGTCTTGGTTGTTATCACTCTGAGTGGCCTTACCCCAACCTTAACGAAATGACTTGTCGGGCCCTTATCGAGTTCTTTGACGAGACGTCCCTAAACCTTCTCTCATTACATTTCGTCATTGGCGACTGATTTCCTTTTGGGCCTCCACCAATTCTACAATGGTATCAGGCAGCGTTCCTGGTCGGCGAGCGAGACTATGCGGGTCATATGCGCTTCAGCAATGTTCGGCAGTACAGGCAACTTCGGAAAATGATACGCGAGGGGAGTTTTGTTCCACGAATCCCATCGCGCCAGCTGAGGGGGGACTGGCCCACTGATCCACGGCAGGATATAGAAGACCGAATTAGCGACCTCTTTTGTGGAAAGATGCCGAGAAAAGAATCTTGGTAGCGGATATCTGTCACATACATCCTCACTGTTATCCCGCGCTTTTCAGAGACAATATGCAATATCTTGATGTCGAATTGAGATCTTTACCTCTTTACCAGGGCACATATTCTAGGAATGTCTTATTTCATAGATGAATTTTCGATCCCTATAAATACATTATACGGTCGCTCACCCATACTTCAAGGCTACATTTGCTTCATTGTTTTAGTTCCTTAATAATCTTCCTACTTCTCCTAATCTATGAAGTGGTAGGAAGAGCAGGAACGGGCCTTATAGTCCACAATACCACATCATCGACTACTCACATGTAGGAGATATCCATGGATATGCATCTCCATTCAAAGCATCCGCTTGATATATTCGTCTACAGTGCAGATATAATCCTCACATTCTTCACTTTGATGTAGGTTTAACATACGCGGCATAGCAAAATGTACCTGATTCGAGAGTAATGACCATCATGGAACATTGATTATTTGGATTTGGGTCTAACCAAACAATAGAGTAGTGTACACGAAGGTAACCACCACGAATTCGACGACCGATTCATGCACTACACTAACGGGTGAAAATGCAGCTGTTTCTGGTGTCAAAAGCGGTCTTTTTCGGTGTCCTTTTCACAGGTCCTCATCTTCTCGTTGCAAAAAAGGTCTGGAATACGAGTAGCACGTGACTGCACCACGATCCGAGACGTGTTTTCTTCTTTTGGGAATGTATTCACATTATAATCCTTGGACTCATCTCTTGAGAGCAAAACATCATAAGTACTTTTTTCATAGTTACCAAGGCAGAGAGTTCATATACCCTAGACTTTCCAGGCCTTGGACAATTCGGAGACAATTCGGAAGTGTGACCCCGTACTTCGAACCTTTGCCCGAGATTATCAGAGCCTCTAGAGCTTCAGCTTTAAAGTTCCTGGCTCATTCCGACTTTCGGGACGGATTTCGGCTTATAGTCAAACCTGGAGTCTGGATGTTTGGACTGTCTTTGGGCCGATTAAACATGACCTGACTGGCGTGGTCATCCCGGCAATTTGCTCATCGATGGACCTTAAAACAAGGCTGCGCAAGGCCTGCGATGCCTGCAGTATTCGGAAAGTGAAGGTATGGTTCTTTTGTCATGTTATGCGGGGGAATACTAATTTCTATGCAAGTGTGATACGGCTGGGCCACCTTGTCGGTCGTGCGCTAGCTTGGATATTCCCTGCACCTATGAAAGACCAAGCAGGCGCCGCGGGCCCCCTAACCGCCATGCAGAAGCGTTTAAGAAACAAAGGCGGGAACCCGAAGATGCAGTGTCGCTGAGCCCGGCAAACTATCCGTCGGCGACGACTCCCCTGGCGGCGCCATTCACCAATTCTCAATCTGCATCGCTCCCCTTATCGGTAGAATCGATTTGTTCTTTGCACACGATGCAGATGTTGCTCGATGACTTTTTTACTTACATTCATCCTTTGGTCCCAATTCCACACGAGCCTTCTTTTCGAGCAGCCTTTGAGCGCCGAGAAGATGTAACCAACCACACATTTTTGGCGCTTTTGGCGTCAATGATTGGACTTTTAGTAGCTTCCTTCCCTCGACGACCTAAACTCCGACTCAACACCGAAGCCGAACGCACCGCTTTCCCCAATTCTATAGCTCTAGTAAAGCGGTGCCTTGACGTTGCGATTCAAGCCCGCGGGACCGGATATCTTGATCGCAACGCCACAGTCTACGATGCAGCAATCAGCTATTTTCTCGGTGTATGTGCTGGGTATATTTACAACATGCGTCGATGCCGTGTGTACCTGTCGGAATGCCGAGCCATGCTCCAAGTGTATGATCTATACCGGTCTCCGACCACCACCAACCGCCCGTCCTCGACATTAGGACCCCTCAGCCCACTATCGTCGGCCTTACTAATGGTGCAGGATCCACCAGCACATAATTTCACGGAAAGCCAAGGCGTCGACCTCATCACCCAAGAGCTCGGCCGGCGTCTGTTCTATGTCACCTTAGTCGGATATCAGACATTGCATCAGATGGGCTCTTCAGATATCAAGGTTCATGTTCCTCCAGAGACACCAACGGACCGTTACCCACCACTCCCGCTGGAGATCGATGATGAATTTTTATTCTCAACACATGTTGAGCCGCAGCCGTCCGACCGAGTCTCACGGCTAGTCGGGTTCAATGCAAATGTTCGCGTCTACAGCTCATATACCGCCCTGCTAGCTTGGGAAATAGCGTTTGGCAACGGTCAAATCTTTGATTGGGAGCACCAGCGCAACTGTATTTGGGACTGTCTCAAGAAAGCAAAATCTGCACTAATCAATGTTCCTGCTGAGTTGTCTCTCCACCATCCGAAGCACACATCCCCGGCATGTTTGTCAGGTCTCGGCGGCGATGACACAATCTTCAGCTACTCTAATGATCATATCCACCAAGAACGACGTGCTATACAGTATGAGATCCAGAAAGCCAATATCTACGCTAGTCAGTTATGCACCAGGTCCTATCTGGTCGAGAAGTACTGGAACCTTTTCGAGACATTTTCAAAGTATGGAAAGTCACCGAAATTCATGACACCGGGCAGCACCACGCCAGATATCAAAACCGAAGGAAGACCCAATTCAGTACCGAGTGCGAGTGCGACTCCCACTGGTACAGCCCCATCAGAAACCAACACTCAAGCTCAACATGCACAAACAGACTTTATTAGTCGCATGATGGCTGAAGAGCGCAAACTGGTCATCAAAGACCTTTTCGTGCTATTACGAACAGTGAACGAAGTGAATATGGAGCCGAACGGCGCAAGCATTGTATGTCCCGTTTACTCTAAACATCACTATCTATCATTGTATCACGCTAACAAAAGGAGTCTGATTACAGACCAATAAAATCCGCCAAGTAGCATCCACCCTCCTCGGCCTTTCACACCGACCGAATAAATCCAACACTGAAATCCCCAAACCCACAACCGCTGCGGCACCATCACCATCACCAACGACCGTGCCTCCAGGCCTCCACGTCCTCACCGACGCAGAGGCGGAGACCTATCTTCACGCATTTATCGAGACGCTTGTCCGACTGGAATGCCATTCTTCCATGGGCGATGCAGCTAGTCCTGCCGACGGCGTCAATCCACAGATGAACGGTCGCGCTATGAGCTATCTGAGTGATTATGAGCGCGACCAAGAAGAATTGAGCCAGTGGGCGAGTTTGAAGGAGTATCAGCAGAAGTTTGCGGAGGCTGGTGGTGTTTTGTATCAGCTGTAGCGTTTCCAGCATCTTCTTGGTGGTCTTTTTTCCTCAATATTCGTGCATTACTTTGGGATAGGAAGGTCAGGGTTCTGGCGTTGGATCACGAATGGATATTATATCATTCGCAGATATGGATATATCAATGGACTTAGGTTTGGTATACTTCAAATATAGCGTCTCTCATCTCGAGACAGCTAAGTATTCATAATTCTATTTCGGTCCCGCGCGAGTCTAGCAAAGCGGCGACTATGGTCCAAGCATGTTAAATTCCTACGTTGTCAATGGGGCCGCATGAGCAGCCGACTAATTTTGTTGAGAAAAGCAATGAATGGCATTCCGGTCATTCGGCCATGATATTTGAGTACTTACACATGCGCTGCAACAGCAACACCTTCCCTAATTACATTGATTGTATGCTTTTTCTTCCGGACCCTATAGATAGGGATGCAACAACGCCCAGACCATGCAAGTCAACCAACCATGTCGAGAGAAAAGGAAAATATAATACAAAATTTGAATCAAGATCATAGGGGAATGGAGAGTGTGAGATGATACAAACAAATAATACAAGCGGTCATCACGACCGCACAGATTTTTGAGATCACGGAGCGAGTATCTCACAGATAGCGCTTCTCGGAGATCTCTTCGTAGCACTGGACATGGTCACCAGGTGCGAAATCTGTCCAGTTTTCGAAAGCGATACCACATTCTGTGTCTTTGCGCATTTCGATGACGTCTTTCTTGACGTTCTTGAGGGAAACCATTGCGCCTATTGTGGAAAGTTAGTTTTGATCCGGAATATTCGTGTTGAGCTGCTTGTGATATGCTTACCATCGTAGACTATCTCCTCCCCGCGGAGCACCCTGACCTTGCGAGTCTTGTTGATCAGACCGTTACGCACACGACTTCCAGCAATAGCTGTCTTTTCACGTCCCTTGACAGTGATCTCGAACACCTGCTGGATCTCGGCTTCTCCGGTCACACGCATAGTGACCGTTGGAGGTAGTTTTTCACTGAGAATGGCCTTGACGTCATCAATCAGTTTATAAATAATGTTGTGATCCAGAATCTCGACGTTCTCAGCCTCTGCCATACGCATGATATTAGGATCAATGGCCTGGTTGAATGAGATGATCTTGCCCTTCGCACTGCCAGCATGTTCGATATCGAATTCACTGACAGGGCCAACACCCGAACGGATGATATTGGCAAAGACTTCGTTGGTACCGACTGCTGCAACGGAGTTCAAAACCGCTTCTACCGAACCGTCCACATCGCCCTTCAGGATGAAATTGACCGACTTAGGGCCGGTAGGTTCGACATCCTGTGTTGTTTCTTCCTCTTCTCGCTCTCGCCTGCGCTTCTCGACAAGTTCACGACGAGCCTCGTTTATGGCAATCATATCGACACCCATCTTCTGGGTATCAGATCTCTCCAAGCGGTAATCTACAACGTCCTTGGCTTTCTGCTCAGTTGGTGCCTGTAGGAGCTCGGTGC